AGATGCTCGGCGTTTCTCTGCACTGAACCTCGCTCTTGTCAGTCAGCTCTGCTCAGCAGATGCAGTTAATTCAGTTTTGACAGGCGCAAGCGAAGTTGCACAAGGGTCCATCCTCCTTCCCTGCTCCTCCTGCGCTGGTTTGCAGGGGAGAGGTAAGATCTTTATGCAGCAAATAGCTGGAATGTAAAGCCTGGGCTTGAAAGTTATGAAATCCCGAACTGACAAGAGCACGCTTCATTAAAAATTCATCTAAAATAGCCATTATAGAATAGTTGTGGTAATTAGCTGAGAGAATAGTTTTCTCTCCTGGCCTCTTGATTCCTGACAGTAAGGAAAGAGGGCAAGAAACAACCCAGAATCCATAATGAGCGGCTCCGGCACAGCCTGTGCAGCATCCCGACCCAAGCCTGGGAATGACATGCTGCAGCGCTGTAAATCACAGCTCGTGATGCCGGATAATTACAGCTGGAATAAAGTAGCTGATTCTAACTGCAGGAACAGTGACCTGCTTGGGTTGGAAAGGACTTTAAAGCTCATCCAAGCCCACGGGCAGGGCCACCTTCCACTAGAGCAGGTTGCTCCAAGCCCCTGTGTCCAACCTGGCCTTGAACACTGCCAGGGATGGGGCAGCCACAGCTTCTCTGAGCACCCTGTGCCAGCGCCTCAGCACCCTCCCAGGGGAAAATCTTCTCTCCAGATTTCTTTAGATCTCACCCCCGTTAGGTAGTGGAAGGCTGCTATAAGATTTTCCTTTGGCTTTTTGTTGCTTGCTGGAAGCACCGCTGTGTGCTGATGGGAGCCCACCAGCACCAGCATCACCCATCCCAGCACAGGGACCAGTGGTGCTGAGCAACCGGAGGCAGCCGAGCCCCACACCGGGGACATGCAGCCTCTGGCCTTTTTTGGCATTAAACCTCCAGTCCCAGTTTCCTCACCGTAAAACACAGATGTTTAATTTTAGGCTGGCAGATGTTTCACTCCTGGCTGAGATTTGAAGCGAAGGCAAGATAGGGGTATTTATAAACCAGTAGTATTTTTCCTATACTAATTCCAGATTACCTCCCTGTATAAATAGGTCACAAATCAAATCTCTCCATTCCAGCCCGTTGTTGTAAATGTACTAATTGTAAAACGTAAACTATCCCAGTTGGGACTGTATCATCTCCCCGTCCCACAGTGTGTGCGTGTGTCCTCCGTGGTACAGGTTTACATACGCAGGCTGATGCTGGCGATGCCGGCGCCGTAGCAGGGATGCTATTTTTGGGCTAGTCCCACTGCCAGTGGAAAATAGGCTAATGGGATAAAAATGTTTGTAAAGTATAGCTATGTGAAAAGAAACTTCTTGCCATGTAGAGAACAGGGAGAATTATCCCTGTGTTTGCATATGTGGTGGTTGGCAGTGGAGCAGGTGATGGTTTTGGAACCGTTGTGTTGGACCAGTGCTCATGATTTGTGGTTTCACGCTGGGCTCTCTAAATGTTAACTTTTAGGTGAGGGCCCATCACTCTGATCTTTCTGTATCTCCAAATCCCATTCCTAAAACAGAGATAGTTGTTTCCTACCCACGGGAGTATGTTGTAGTTTATCTGCAGTAAATGGTCAAGAGGAGAACCCAGACTGGTGGAGCTTGGGGATTCAGGAGTAATTTTGAAGCCCTGGTGTTTGGATTGTCAGGAACTAAGGAAATAAGTGAATACTGGCCCCAAGTGTGTGGCCAGCAATTCCCAGCACTGCCAGACCCCCAAGCAGGTTGTTGCCCATCACCAGTGAGGATCAACAGGAGCTGTGTGGGCTCAGCATCTCTGGTGCAACTGTCCTGCCATCACCAAAACCACTGTGGGCTCAGCAAGAAGGTGTAATGGACCTCTGAGCTGGACAGTGTGTTTTAGGGACAAAGAGGACATGCGCCCCTAGCACCACACAAAGCTTGGAGCCCTGGAGCACCCGTGGCTCCAGCTCTCCTCCGAGCTGCTTCTTCAGCCAGAAAACACGGGATGTTTCCCATTCTGGACCAATTGTTGCCAGCTGCAGCATCCATGTAAGTTTGAGATAGATAAAATATAGCAGTGTTTGGCTGGCAGCTCTCATTGCTTCCTCTGTAATGATTTCCGGCCCCTCTCCGCTAGCTGGTGGGCTCCTTTCTTAGTCGAGAACAAAACTGTGTTAAACAATACCTCACATTGTTTGCCCTTTCATTCAAAGGGAAGGAGCCGCTGCCCTCTGAAGATACAAATTAATTAGAAGCAAATACTATCCTGTTCTTCAGAGCATAAAGGCCAAACAGACTGGCTTTCTTTGAGAACATGGGACCAAAGTGTCTCTTGTATCCTGCTTCTTTACATAACCGATTGCTATCTGCTGAATTGAGGTGGCACTGAAAGGCCTAAATCTTTGGTTGGTTTTGTTTAGTATCATTGCATTTGTGCTGATATTTTAATGGAAACAAAGTACAAAACCAATGCTTGGTGCCCATGTTTAATCGGAGATTTATAGGCAGCGAGCCAGCAGGACAGCTGTAATCAAAGCAGAATCATGGCTTGAGTTGCACTTGGTCATTTTAGCCCAAATTTTAGTTTATGAAGTATTTGATTCTGCAGGAAGAAATGTAAACTTCTCAATGGCTCCATGTGTAGGAAGTGACGTGCCTTCAAAAGCAAAGAATTCCTTCAAGGCACGATTGTCTTCCTGAAAAGCTGCTTTTCTTTCAGGAAACAGGTTTGACACCAAATCCTTCAAAATTCCTCCAGGTTGGTAGCCTGAGCACAGTGCTCGTGATGATCTTCCCTTGCCTGCCTCATTCTTGCTACCTTAGCATCTCTTTGGCCCTAAACTTGGTTTTTGTTGGATGTTTGCCTATGGAAAGTGGTAGAGCAGATAGGTTTGTCCTTGTCTGGCTGTAGCTGTTTGCCACTTGGATGTTGTAGGTGTTTTAATTTCTTCAGTGACAGCAGTTTGATGAAGGAGCGGGCAGGAGGAGGAGATGGCTGATGCCTGCCTGAGTCTGAGTTCCCTGTTCCCATTACAGCAGTGTTGTGTCACAAGCTGCGAGGAACCTTCTCCTGCTCTGACCTCTGTCTCATTTGGGATATTGATTGCAACTGCTTTCCCTGGAGACCCACAGCCTTTATATTGCTTAAAAATTAACTGGAGGCCTCCAAGAAACTTTCTGAGAATCCATCTCAGTCTGCACAGCTTCCCTTCAGCAGCTTAACAACTGCTGGGTTTTAGGTGGTCAGGAATGTCATAAAGCTGTTGCCAAATTCTCTTTTAGCCCCCAGTAGCATCATTCACCTATCTTCTGTTGCTGCTGCTGAGGATCTTGGCACATCCCAGTCTGGTTTTTGGGATTTATCAGCAGAACAATAGCTCGTACATGGTGTATATATAATTTTACCTTTTAGTTTGTCTGTGTGCTCTGGGTGGGAGCTGATGGTGGTCTCCATTCTTCCTGCATCCTCTCCCCTTGAAATTTGCATTTTGCAGTGGCCCTTGTGCTGTAGTGTGCTGAGGTGGCCCTGCATTGCCAGAGCCAAAAAGCTTGGGAAGAACAGCAGAGCAGGCCCTCCCTGAGCGTTGGGTCTCCCATACCCAGTGCCCCTCCGCTTTTGATTGGTTTCAGCTGGGAAATACTAGTATTTACTTGGATATACTCTGCTTATCACTCTTTGAAAGCATCAGAAATACAGGTCTTCGAGATGCTTCCTCTGTACGCGCTGAAGGTGACTCCCATCTCCAAGGAGAGGGTATCTGGATGCTTGGAAGTGCTGTTAAACAGGGAAATGTGGCAGTTGGTGAAAGTGCTGTGTGCCCGTGGGACTGCACGTCAGCACTGCACAGCCCTTCGCATAGATGATCGGGCTGTGATGGCAAGAGAAGTTAGTTTAAAATCATCATGGGGGTTGTTCTGCTGCTGTTTGGTCCTTAATTGCTGAAGGAAACGATGCAGCTCCATGACCAAGGGGCATCCTCCTGGTATTCTGACTTTTTAGGGAAGGAGGGAGCGATGAGGGTGGTGATGCCTCCAGCCCCGTGCCTGCAATAGGATGCCACGGCACAGCACGGCGGCGCGGGGCATGTCCTAGTTAGAACACTGCTTCCATTGTACCCGAGCCATCGTCCCTTGGTTACTGCAGCAACAAGTCTGCAAAACTTGTTATTTTATCTAGAGAGAGGAAAAGTGGCCCCCAGAACACCAAAATAATTGCAGGAAAAGGCACCTCTTGAGCTGGAGACATTTTGAGTTCAGAAACGCTAATTGCTGGGGATTTTTTCTTCTCTCGGTATTCACAGGTATTGGAGCACGGAGCTGAGCTTGATTTTATGTGTGCCACTTGCACCATTATCACATTTTGGGTTAAGAAAAGATGAATTGTTGTAGAGCTGGGCTGCAATTCAGAACTGTAACTGTTCCCACCATGTTCCAGTGCAGCTGGAGTTGGTGTACACGTCAGCCCAATTTGGTGTCAAAAATTGTAATTTTAGGCAAGCGTGTGGACTTGCAGTGTAAATGTGCTTTAGCAAGGAATCCTCTGTATGCCCACAAGACCCAGACTTGCACAGTGCTGGCAGGATGGCTCAGTACTTCCAGCTTTTCAGTGTCAATGGTTGCTAATGCACAGTGGTGGGCACCAGGAATGATATTTTGGGGCAAGTCACAGCCGTGTCCTGGCAAACCCCAGTATAGTCTGGTTTTGAAGCCACAGCTCACTGACATCTTTTGACTTGTTGGTTGGGGTCTCTTGTTACTGAGAGGAACAGTCACCTGCAACAGGCAGAGTAAGAGAAGGAGCTTCAGGGTGTGAGTTGGAGCTTGCAGGAGGTGGCTGGTGAGTGTCATCTTCAGAGGAGGCTGTGGTGACCTTTCTCAGTGCAGTGGGTGTCTTTAGCAGGAAAAAAACATCAGGAGAAGTAGTTTTGATACTGATGCAGGTATTTATCAAACTTGAGCAATTATTGCCTATTTTAGAAACCCCTGGTGGAGTAACCTGCTGTTCTTCTGGGAGTATTTGGGGAAGCCAGCTTCATATGCTGCGCTTGCAGAACTATGCCAGCTGTGCAGAGTTGCCCATTTTCATAAATGATTAACTTAGGCAAAGTTAAAGCATAATGAGATTCTAAGAATCCCTCTCGCAGAACCTGAACACACATACGAGGCTGCTGTGGCAGGTGATGGGGGAGACCAGGAGATCTTCCCATGCTTTCAGGTGGCATCTGCCCGGCAGCCGATAGCCCTGGTAATAGCATCTGGAGGGGAGGAATATTTCCAGCAGCTATGTGAAAAATTCAAAACCTGACCTTCTGTTAATGCTGTTCCTGCATAATGAGCTGGTTTAATGGTTTTCCCTTTTAATTTTTAAGTTGCTCAAGAGAAGCCAGAGCAGATCCCACTGGAGAACCGCTCCTGTGTCCTCATCCGACGGGATCTTGTTGCTCTCCCAGCCAGTCTTATCAGTCAGATCGGATACCGTTGCCACCCAAAACTCTACTCGGAGGGAGATCCTGGAGAAAAGCTTGAGCTCGTTGCAGGTAATGAAGGGGGAACTTTTCTTTGGTTGAGAATTCCCGGGGATCACTGATGTTTTCCTTCTTGAAATGTGGTGTTCATCCTGCACCGTTGCTGGAGTCAAGCATCCTGTGTGCCCTTGCTGTGTCTTTCTGGATTATTCATCACCAATCATCTTTTTAAAAGTTCTAAGTTTCCTTTAATTTGCTGATAGAAAAATGTGTCATTAACAGGATTTATTCAATTGAATTAATTTAGCATTTTAATTGAATTCTCCAGCTTGTGTTCTTCCTGATTGGTGCGGGCTGCATCGCAATTGTGGTTTGATTTAGATGCACAGATCTAAAAAAAAACCTACTGAAAACCCTAAAACCCTCTCACATTATCAGATTTACAGAGCAATGGAGATAAAGTTTGTGTCAGTGAACAAGCTTTGAAAAGCCTGTAAAAGGTCTTATGAAATTGGGGATGTTACCATGTGGTCAAACCCTGCAGTAGGAAGGAAGAGAAGGGATTGGGTTTGGTCCTTTCTTCCATCTTTATTTTCATTTTGAGGGGAGTTTATGGTATTGGAAGAACTCACTGCTTCTCTGTAAAGGATTTATGGCCAACTTGATGTGGAAGATGGTGCTGTTTAGCTTTCAAAGATACTGGTGGTGTAGAGCTGGATAAAGAGTGAAATCCACTAGCTGTCACATGTGTCCATGCCAGCCTGGAGCCCAGGTACCTCGAGTGCTGCACAGGAGGTGGATGTTTGACTGGGGTGCCCAGGTCAAATTCCAGTTTAAATAATCATATGCTGCTTTTGTAAGTGCCCTCCACCTTCACTTTGCTGCAGTGCTCCTCTCAGCTTATAGCCCGTGCTGCTGGCAGGTTTTTCCCCTGGCTGTGGCTGTGTTTAGGTGAAGTGAACTTTGCACAACTGCCCATACCTGCTGCCACTGTGGGGGGTTTAATTAATACCTGTAAAGCCCTTGGTATAATACTGGTATGTGGCAGTGCAATCAATCCAAATTAGTTGTCCTTTCCTTCTGGTCATTTATCTCATGGTGAGTAGCATGATTTTATTTTCAGTCTGTAGAAGGAATCTGAATTTCAGGGGATGCCCAGAAAGGTTTCTATCTGATGGAGGATGGGGCTTTGATGGAAGGCAGGAGTAAAACACACACGCTGCAGCACAGCATACAACCACAGGTATTTATTTTGTATCTGGAATATTCATTTTGTGCCCATTTACATTTTCTGTGAGATTTCTTAAAACCATCAAGTGGTGCAGGTTATTTTCACAGTGAGAGCTGCAAATTGGCTTGAGGCAGCTCTGCTTGATTTACATTTTTCAATCTGGGAAACAAAGTAGATTAATATCACTAACTGATAGTGGCTGCCTTGGTTGTTTTTTATTTATTAAAGTGAAGTTGCCCTCTGATGGATTAGCTCTTAAAATACAGCTGCTGAAGGAAGCTAATTCTTGTCTCAAGCCGGGTGAGAGCTGGGGCGGGAGTTTTTGCCTCCAGCAAAAGTTTTCCTCAACTCTTCACTTTGTAGCATTCTCCTTTTGTCTCTAATTATTCGTGCCATGATTCATTCTGTGAACTTCAGCAGCTCTGTCCAAGAGGGTGTTCAACAAGTCGTGCAGTCATTGTGCATCTGATGGACAGATGCTCTGCGTGGAAGAGAATATGTGGAACCTGGAGAGGGGCTTTGGACAGGGACGTGTA